CCACGTTCTGTACAATGTTAGTTCAGCCCATAGAATACATTCTTCCATAATGTCCAGTACTCATGAAGAGTCAGTATGATAAACATTCCAGACAAACTAGAACGTTCAGCAATGAGTCATTTATTGGGACTTTACTGCAAATTCAGTTACTGTCAGTTGTGAGTAAAGCAAGCAAAAGGACTGACTTGGTTTACATGTCCCCCTCCTGTATAGTGCAAGGCTGAACGTTAATGATCAACAAGGGACGTCAATCAATTTCTAGTGACCTGTCACGGTGGATGTTGTACCTTCTGTGTAGAGTCCGGGCCGTTGTGCCATTAGAATGATTCTACAAGGTGTACTCCCAGCTGGTTGAGGTAAGCCCTGTTTGTGAGAAATGCATTTTTGTACTTAGTCTTACCATGTTTGTGTACCAAAATTCACTTTTACGCTTTGTTCTTTAACTTGTTTTGTGCTACAGAGCATTCCCAGCTGGCACAATAAATGTACTTGTATAAATATTTCATGAGAATGTTCTGGTTACAAATGCTGACAGACAACTAGTCACATTTGTAACGTTCTGCAATTTTTTTCTTATAAGTTTCTTGAAGTGTGAAATATTTTGTAATTTGAGACTCCACTGGGTTCTCGGCCTCACTTTCTCCCTATTTCAGGAGAAAATGGAATGTTGGGTCTCGCACACTAATGGCAAGGGCCATTGGGCACTTATAGCTGAAGTCACTGAATCATGGTGCCCTAGTTATTGTCTGCCAGGGAAGAGTAGATGTGCAGATATGTAATCAAACTTTGCTGCTTTTTCTGACGAAGCAGTTAAAAAAAAAAAAAAAAAGTGCTTCTGAAACGGAGAGTTGGTAAATGGTGAGACCTGGTTTATTGTAACGTATCTGTTTGCCAGTAGAAGTTATAAGGGGGAATTTTCTAGACTTGAAGATTACTACTATTCTGTGAAAATGGGAAGGACTCTGCTAAATAGAATATTCAGAGTATAATATAATATGCCTTCACAATTGATAACTTTTTAATAAAAGGTTTTTAAAGTGATTGTAAAGGGAATTTTATTTTTTTTCTAACAAACATCTCATATTTACCTGCTCTGTGCAATGGTTTTGCACAGAGCAGTCCAAATCCTCCTCTTCTGGGGTACCCTACTGGTGCTCCTCCTATCTGAGCTCACAAACTGAAAGTGCTATTTCATTATTTTTTAATTATTAAAAGTAAACTCATTCATTCATCTGTCCATGTTCCCATGCTTTTTTGCTGGGAAATAAATTTGAAGAATACCCTCTAGCATTTCAAATCATGGCCATCATGAATCAGGATAGGTGATTCATGTAACACTTTCTGGAATCCCTCTGACTTTGGATCAGACATGCTTAGCTGAGAAAGCTTCCTCCTCCTTCTTTGAGACTTCTGGGATGTATATACTTTTGGCCTAGGCCAAAAACCAGGAAGCACCTGAAGAAATATAAAAAAAAAAAACAAGTGTTTTAAAACCCGTAAAGATATAATTCTGCAACTCTTCTCTCCCCTCAATTCCTGGTCTGTTTTTATTAAGCAGGAGCTACTGACAAAGCCAGTGACGATGGAGGGGGGTAGTGGGACTGAGTCCCACTGTGTGCCTATAGATGCAAGCAGGAGCGGTTCAGGAGCAAGCCTGCACGAGTGCCTTCATAGGAAGCTGCTTCCTATGGAGCACTAACCAGGGAGGAGGAGCCAGGAGTGCCAGTGTGGGACCCGAGAAGAGGAGGTTCGGATTCCACTGCACAGAGCAGGCAAGTGTAAACCCATTCTTTTAAAAATATTAAATTTGCAATCACTTTAATGTTGATTGAGTCAGTGAAGTTCCTCTTTAACTGGAGAGCAATTTTGCCGTTAGGGGTTCAAAGACTATGGCAAATGTGGTTTATTTGGGAGTTGAAAGATTGAGGTTTTGTGATGTGATGAATGGCTGGTAAGTGCTTGTTGGAAGCTAGAGAACCACAGTGGAAGGAAGGTGGTGGGGAATAGGATTCATACATGCTTAAATGGCAGAGGACTATATGACCCCTTCTACTTTCACAGTGAGGTGAGCGAAGGCCTGCAACCTAGTGGATTTCTGCATCAAATTGTCTCTATGAAGAACTAGAGCGCAGAGAAGAGCATGAGAAGAGCAAAACATATGAAACCTGAGGGGGGTAGTAATAGGACACGGCACAGAGAGGCAGTCCACATGGTAATAAATATGGCACAGCACAGATGAACAGTTCACAAAGTGGCTATATGGCATACCAAAGGGGATGAGCCATGGGACAGTAATGAACAGCAAGGGTTAACAGTCCATGGAGCGGAAATATGGCACAGCAAAGGGAGAGAGTCCATAGGACAAATGCAAAGGGAAATTGTCCTTGGTGGTAATATGGCACAGCAAGGGCAGAGAGACTGGAGGGTTTGGGGACTCACGGTCCCTGAATGGCACTGTAGGGGCGTGCGTTAGCACTAGTCTGATCATTGGAGGACATGCAGGCTGTTCTCCTAGCACAGAAAGAAAACTGGCTACTCTGGGATGGATGTACTAAGAAAGCAGGGGACTGGCAAGATCAGGCATTTCACACAAAGGAAACAATACAAAGAGAACAGGATACCTTTTAACCCAAGTACAAGATACAATAGACACACATTAGGAAAATGAGATGTTGGGGTAACATTTTTTAACCACTTGCCTACAGGGCACTTATACCCCCTTCCTGCCGAGGCCAGTTTTCAGCTTTCAGTACTGTCGCATTTTGACTGACAATTGCGTGGTCATGCAACACTGTACCCATATGAAATTTTTATCATTTTTTTTGAGACGGATAGAGCTTTCTTTTGGTGGTATTTATTCACGTCTGGGTTTTTTTATTTTTTGCTAAACAAACCAAAAACAACTGACAATTGTGAAAAAAAATTTTTTTTTCTTAGTTTTTGTTATAAACTGATAGGCTGCACTGAAAGGTGGCACTGATGGGCACTGATGGGGAGGCACTAGTAGGTGGCACTGATGGGCATTGACAGGCATCACTGATGGGCACTGAAAGGCGGCACTTGTATATGGCACTGTTAGGCCGCACTGATGGACACTGACAGGTGGCACTGCTGGGGCTACACTAATCATCAGGGCACACTGATCATCAGTGCCCTGATGATCAGTATACATGTCCTCTCTGTGGAATGCCAATTACTGGCTCTCCTCTCAAGCTGTCAGCGTGACCGCTCATGAGGAGAGAAATGCCGATAACCGGCATTTCCCTATTTACATGTGATCAGCTGTGATTAAACACAGCTGATCACATGACCGTGCTGACATCTTCGGCTCTTTCCGTTGATTGGTGATCCAAGAAACACCGCACACTACCGATTGCCGCACTACCAGAGCCGCGCACGTACGGTTAGAGTGGGAGGACGTCATATGACGTCGTCCCAGAATGAGAGAACCACTTTGCGCCCGTCGTTTCCTTATATGGTGGGCGGGAGGCAGTTAAAGTGATAGTAAAGTTGACAAAAAACCCCTTCCTCCTGCACTTTAAGAGCATAATGTCGTAGTATGCATCGTATACTAGTACAATATGAAAGACTTTCCTTAAAATGAAGACCTCCAGCAAAATGCTATCGCTGCTGACAGCTTCCATCTTCACCTGATCTTCCTTCTGGGTTTATGGGCTCCAGTTATTTGAATGGCTGAGCTACGACGATGTCACTTCTGTGCATACACACAGGAGCCAAGATTGCAGCGCACTGAAGGGGCGGCATACTCACTGCGCTTCAGAGTGTAGTGACGTCACCAGTTGCAGAATTAGTGAATATCTTCTACAGAGTGTACATTTAGGAGCAATTCCTTGTACCTACTGGTGAACATTATTATAAGCTTACCTGTAGGTACCAAGTGGGGTTTACTGCCGATATAATACATTTCACATCTTCTAAAAGTCATCTGTACCACTACAAAACCTATTGGATTCTATGGAGCAAAGCATGCCACAGGTTGAAAACTAATTCTGCATATAATATTCCATGTGTTTGCTTCCTATAAACAATCTTTTCACAATATCGTGTGTAACTGATATTCAAACATGACAAATCTACCAATTGAACACGCATAGTTCAGCAGAAAGTAGTTGTTTTGAAATTCTTGAAGCCATCCTATATTTATAAAATATTACCGTGCCTGAATGTAAATATCCAGGGTTCTGTGTGCCATGCATATTTAAGCCATGAAGCATTCAGTACGCAGCTGTCTGTCACCGGGTCGTTTTGCGGCTGTGCCTGAACACGATCGCTTTGTGCTTTGTTACATATGTTCTATTTACACATGGTCTTGGAGAAACCTGATTGTACGTAATAACGCTGTCCTGGATTCCTCCTCCGTCAGTGTTTACTAAAGCCTTAATGGGTCATGTGACTTGGCTGTCAGCTGCGTAGGATGTTGGCTGTGTGTGCATGTCCTAGCCATGTGTATTCACACGTAAATAAGCAAATGGCTCTGTGTTCTGTTACTATGTTACTCATGGTCTTTGCTCATGTTTGTTGTTGCTAGTTGAACTACATAATCAGCCTCTCCCTTCGCTTTTAGGTATTGAATACACCAAACTGAAGCATATCAACTTTCAGTTTTTGCCTGCTGTCATCGCTGATTTGTTTTGGTTTTTTTTTTGTTTTTTTTTTTGTTTTGCTTGTGCTTATAAGGAAAAAGTGGTGTTGGACATATTGGGAGGAAGTGGCCTAGCGTAATGGCCTCACACACGGGTGTAAAGGAGTGCTCTACAAACAATGCTGATGTATGGAGAGAACCCAAAGGTCCGGTCACAAAGTGTATGGGCACAAATACAGTGAGAAGTGAATGCTCCAAAACTGAAAGAAAAATAAATATATTGCAGTTTATTAATCCTTTAACCACTAGCCTACAGGGCACTTATACCCCCTTCCTGCCACTGATAGGCTGCACTGATGGGCATTGACAGGCATCACTTATGGGCTCTGAAAGGCAGCACTCGTATATGTCATTCTTAGGCGGCACTGACTGGCACTCTTAGGCGGCATGGGTAGGCGGCACTGATGGGCACAGATAGGCGGCACTGGTTAGCAGCATTGATAGGTGGCATTGATATGTGGCACTGAAAGGCAGTTCAGATGGGCACTGATGTGGGATTGATGTGCACTGGTAGGCACTGGCAGGTGGCATTGATGGGCACTGGCAGGTGGCACTGCTGGGGCTACACTGATCATCAGGGCATACTGATCATCAGTGCCCTGATGATCAATGTACATGTTCCCTCCGAGGAATACCGATTATCGGCTGTCCTCTCCTCATGAGCTGTCAGCGTGACAGCTCGTGAGGAGAGAAATGCCGATAACAGGCATTTCCCTATTTACATACGATCAGCTGTGATTGGACATAGCTGATCACATGACTGAGCCGACATCTTCGGCTCTTTCCGTTGATCGGTGATCGCCACGCTGAGAGCTTCCAGAACGAGAGAACCGCCTTGCGCGCGTCATTACCATATATGGCAGGCGGGAGGCGGTTAAATGTGTTTGGGTTGCATTTGCTTTCTGTTTTGTTTTTTCTTTTTTTTTTTTTTTTTTTCACTTGATGAATTGACCAGTAATACACTTCCTGTCTTGTGGTGGGTGTCTCCACTTTACTGGAGGAGCAACGGAGACCCCTTTGGACATCAGCATTGCCAGTTTGAGAAGAGGGTGGTGTTGGATGGACTAGAAGATTTAGATTAACTTGAAAAAAAAAATCAAAACCGAACTCCAGCTAATACTTGCTAAAGAGTAAGTTCCCTTTCACACGAGCGGACCGATAAGGTCCGCCTGTCTAGTTGTCAGGCAGACCTGATCGGACCACCCATTGTCCTCTATGGGAAGGCAGATGCAAACAGGCATGTATCTGTTTACACCCACCTGCATCCGATCCTCCAGAAACAGATGGATGGGGGTATGTTCCCCATTTGGCGATCAGAAGATAGTCTGATGTAAACAGACAGTCCATTTCCATCTGACTGCCCAATAGAGAACAGTGAGCTTGTGCAGTGCAGACATGAACCTGTCCTCCGTCTGCTCAATGGGATCAGCAGACAGATCCCCCACTGAGCAGGCCGATCCACTTGACTGAGTCTGCCCCATGTGAAAGGGGCCTTGAAGTAACAGTTTTTTCCTTTTTGGAGATTAAGGTTTTACTAAATGAATAAAAGCTGACCATTGTAAGTGCTTCGCTCGTGTTAAACTGGAACTGAAGTTCCTCTTTAACCCCTTGACGCCGACCACACGCAAAGTAGCGGCCTCACAGAACTGGGCTTACATGGGGCCGATAATTTTGTGTACTGGGTTTTTTTTTTCTTTTGGGACCTTACCGGATTGTGCTCTCCCATCACAAAGACCAGGGTGTCACTGAGAGCCCGGGTCCTGTTCGAACAATTGAGACCCGGAAATCCCACATCCGGATAACCTGATCACTAAAATAGCCTCTGGTTGGCTATCACAGTGATCGGGAACTGTGAAACCTGCCCCCCTTGTTTTCTCTCTGAATAGAGGAGAGAGAGATGCATTGTATCGCTCTCTCTCCTCTCTCGCTCTCTCTTTCTCTCCTTTCAGAGAGAGAGAAAAAAAAAAGAAAGGGTCAGTTTTCTATTTATTTTTTATTTTTTCTTTGGTCAGGTTTTTTTTTTTTTTTTTTTTTTTTTAATAAAAATTCGTCTCAGTGGCAGTTGCTGGATGAAGAAAAAAAAAAAAAAAGCAAATTTTTTTTAGTTTCTTGGCTGTACTACAGGTACAAACAACTAACATACACATATGTTGTATTTCTCGTCATGAGCAGGAGAATTTATTTTGGGTTGTTGTTCTTTGGTGGTAGGTTATGGTATTAGCAAGAAATATATAGTTACATTTTAAGTTTTTTTTTTTTTTTTGTTTGCTAATAAAAAGAAAAAAAAAATCAGGAGATATCCATTATTTACCACCAAATGAAAGCCCGATTTGTCCAAAAGAAAAACAAGGTATAATCCACCTAGATGCACAAAGGTAGTTATGATATATGTACGGTTTTGCTAATAGATGTCAAAGTTGCAAAATTGTGCTTGGGCATTAAGATTTGTTTTACCCTTAGGGAGGAAGGGGTTCAAGTGGCTGATAGGCTCAATTTTTTTACCTTCATGTATTCTATGCATGAGGTAAAAAAAAAAAAACCTGTGTGCAGCAACGCCCCCAGCCCCTCTAAAACTTACCTGAGCCATATTCCGATCCAGCAACGTGCACGAGAGCCTCGGCTCTCCCAGGTCTCTCCCTCCTCATTGGCTGAGATAGCAGTGGTAGCCATTGGCCTCTGCTACTGTCAATCACAGCCAGTGAGGCAGAGAGGAGAGAGCAGGGGCAGAGCCTAGCCATGTTTTGCTTGTGAATGGACACTTAGAGCAGCGGCTCAGGAGCAAGCCTGCTCGTTTGCCCCTATAGTAAGCTGCTTGCTATGGGGGCATTAGGCAGGAGGGAGGGACCTGGAGCATCGACGGTGGGACTCGAGAAGAGGAGGATCAGAGCTGCTTTGTGCAAAACCACTGCACGGAGCAGCTAAGTATGACATGTTTAAAAAAAAAAACCAGAAAAATACCCCACCAAAACTTTGTTACTTTAAGAAACTGAGAGCAGGTAGGTTTTTTTTTTTTTTTTTTTTTTTTTTTTTTTTTTTTTTCCCAGAAGACACATATATCGTCTCCACTGCAATTAAAAAGCCCCTGCCTGCCTGCTCAATATCTTCTCCAGAGTTGTAAGCAGAGCTTTTATTTCAGCCTATTCTTTTTGAATGGGCTGAAATCACCACCACACCAACTACTTCTGGATATTCACTGGATACTCCCTGCAACCCCATCACATGTTACTTCTGTACCATATAATCCGGTGTGGGCAAACGCATTGAGTTTGCAACTTGTTTGGGTTGTCATTAAGTTAATATTGACACCTGCTGCAGAGGGCAAATGCAGAGTGTGTTTTGAACGTGGTGTGGGAAACATGTATGAAACACTAGTTTCCCGCACCACGTTCTGGTGTGAACGTATGCGTTTTCTTCTGCACTGCTTTTAGAACTCACTGCACTTGTGATCTACAGCGAGTGTTTGTGCAATGCTAACACCCCAAATGCAGGTTACAAATGCAGTGCCTTTGTCTCATCGGGTTTTATGATACAGAAGTATCAAGTGATATGGATGCTCTGCATGTTGTAAAGTAGTGTATGCACTACTTTTGCTGTAGTTCTGTGCAACATCAGCCTATTCAAATAAATGAGCTGCACTGCACCTGGATCGCTTGTGAATCGCACAAACTCACAGTGCTTTTCTGTGCAATTCATGGTGTGAACTGGCCCTTAAAGCTCTAACTGCCACTTTTACTGGAAAGCTTGGTCTCTTAAAGCAAGCTGAAAAATAGAACTTGCTGGGCAGAAAGCCAGGTGGAAATGAAATGGCAAAAAAACCCCACATCTAAGAATTGGTCAGTTGTAATATATTAAAGTTTGGGGTTTAATACTGCTTTCACTTTGCCCAGTGGCACCTTACAAGTAAAAGTGCTTCAAGTTTGTTTCACCAGAGATCTCACAAGAAGGATCTGTAGATGTAGATGATGACCTAGTGCCTGGACACAACACTGCCCTCAGTTATCAATGTAGACCTGGTTTATGGTAGTGCCTATGGTGTTCTTGTGTTTTTTTTTTTTTTTTTTTTTCTCCTGGAGGCTGTTCAGCTTTTCATATCTAAGAAATGCATTTTCAAATAATGCTTAGAGAAGACTCCTCCTTTTTACACCTTCAGGCTACTGAACTTTAATCAGTAACAAAGCCAGCACACCGCACCCCTCTTTCACTTTCCTGCGCCAAGTTCGCTCGGTGTCCTGTAATGATTGCAAAACCTGATTCACCGCTAGGCATGCAATGTTTACGTGGTATAAGTTTGCATTCCTTTCTCTCCCTGAGATCAATGCTTCATGGTTTTTTTTGTAATCTTCTGTTTACTTAACCAACCCTGTTTCTATGCATTACTGTCAGATGAGACCAGGTAGAACACAGGTACAAGGCCTTTTGGCTAAGATCAAGTGTAGTATCTGTTCTTATCAGTGTCCAGTAGGGGTGCTCCACCATCATTCCTGCTTGCGGGGATGTTTGGTTGTATAGTACTCCTGCTGGTAGTATGGGGGTCCAGATGGTTAATACAGGGTGGAACAGAAACTGAGGTGCCCACAGGCAGTTGGGGCCCGGGAGTAATTCCCCCCCCCAGGAACGCCAGAGGGGCCCAGTTCCTCCTGGTTTGAACAGATCTACCTTGTCTGGCCAGGGGTCGGGGAGGCAGAGAGTCCGCAGAACAGTGCCCCCTGAGTGGTCGCCTCAGGGGTGCTCTTAGTAGCACATGGGGATTGGATCCCATGTGTGAAACGTGCACATGGTCACTGATCCAAACTACTTTTTCTGCACTGCGCCTTTTAGGGCTAGGCCTTTTGGCTAAGTCCAGGGCAATTTTTTTTTTTTTTTTTTTTTTTTATGTTACAGGCCTCAGGGCCTAGCCAGTGCACAATTGCACTGGCCACTTTTTTATTTTTCTTATTTAATTTCTTTTTCTCCCATGTTTGTTTCACTTACGTGTGTGTTTTCTTTTATCACGGATGGTAGGGTGTGGGTCCTCGGGCCTACCCTGAAGTCTAGGGGGAGGATGTGTGGCCTTTTGGTTCCTTCCTCCCCTGTACCTAGGGGGTTTTCTCTTTGGGAGAGCCCCCTTACCTAGTACTTGGTGGCTGGCTTAGGCTAGCCACAAGGAAAGGGGTCCACCAGGCCTTTTGGCTAGGAGGACCACATGGGAACCTTAGTCCCTGTCAGGAGCTTCGTGCCCCGGGGGATCAGGGTAAAGATCCTACCCCTTCGGGGGGTGGACAAAGCACACCCCTAAGTGCACTTTTTTGTGTTTGGTTTTGCACTAGCACGTTCTTTGTTCACTTACGGGTTTTTGTTTTTCGCACTTCCGCGGACTTAAAAAAAACAAAAAACAAACAGGTACAAGAAAAGGATTAGTTAAGCTCCATTTTCCTTCTGTTCAGGTGGACCCATATTTACCCGATACTTTGAAGGCAGTACATATGCATAGCAGATTATTGCCAAAAAAGTTTGGAAAGTTTCCTTTCATTACTGAGAAAACCCTTGAAGTGTCATTCAGGTTGTTATATGAGAAGTGCCTAGGGCCTAATGATGTTCTTATGTATGCTGTGCATGTGTCAGTTATCTAAAAGGCGACTTCTCTGTATAACAGACGTGAGGGACATCTAGTTTAGCAGTAATCACAGCTGTTCTCAACATATCTGAAATATGAACTGTCTGTATTGCTCACAGGACAGTAGCCTAGTGGTAAGCTACCTTGCTTTGCAGCTCTGGATTCTTAGTGTCACTTCCCACTAGCGCCATTCTCTTGAAGCAATTTGAATTTTCTT